AAAATGTGGCATAACCCAGTGAGCAATGACATGGGGCTGGAAAGGAAGACCCAGAGCGTAGGTACTGAGGAGATGACTAAGGAGACGTGTGAAGAGAGAGGAAGTCAGAATTATTCCCAGATTGTGAGTCTGGAAAAAGGCAGCTTGGATAAGAGGAGAGAAGCCTGGACTATAACTCAAAATAGCTCTTGTATTTTTTACTTACTAATGATAGAACTTTTCAGCCTCATTTCCTTCATCTCTGGAAGTAAGGAAGCTTCTTCTTTCACAGATCTTTGGAAGATTAAGAAGATACACAAACAGCCAAAGGCATGAAAAGATGCTCAACATCAGCCATCATCAGGGAAATGCAAATCAAAACCACGGTGAGAAATCACCTCGCACCTGTTAGGACATCTGTTATCAAAAAGATAAGTGATCACAAATGTGGGTGAAGATGTGGAATGAAGGGAACCCTGTGTGCTGTTGGTGGGAATGTCAACTCGTACAGCCACCATGAAAAACAGAACGGAGGCGCCTCACGAAATTAAAATAGACAATCCATTGATTCGACTTTTGCGGACACATGCAAAGGAAATGAAATCGTTATCTAGAAAAGATATCTGCACTCCCATGTTCATAGAAGCATTATTCAGATTAGCCAAAATATGGAAACAGCGTAAGTCAACAGATGAATGGATAGAGAAAATGTGGTGCAGATATTCAATGGAATATTACCCAGCTTTTAAAAAGGAGATGCTATTCTTTGTGACGGCATAGATGAACCTGGAAGACATTATGATAAGTGAAATAAGGCAGACATAGACAGACAAATACTGCATGGAGGAGCCAAAAAAAATATCAGCTTCATAGAAACCAAGAGCAGAAAAGTGATTACCAGAGATGAGGGTAGAAGAAATAAGAAGAAGTTGTTGAAACGGTACAGACTTTTAATTATAAGATGACCAAGTTCTGATGTATAACATGGTGACTGTGGTTGAGAACACTGTATCATATCATTGAAATTTGCTAAGAGAATAAAACTTAAAAGTTCTCATCAAAGAAAGGTAAATATGCAAAAACGATATGGGGTTTCCTCAAAAAATAGAGTTACCACATGACCCAGCAATTCCACAACTCAGTTTCTATACAGAGAATGGAAATTCTAATTAAAAAAGATAGAGGCACCCTTATGTCTTTTTGATAACAGCCATTCTGACAGCTATAAGGTGATATGTCATTGTGGTTTTGACTCGCATTTCCCTAATAATTAGTGATGGCAAACATCTTTTCATGTGCTTGTTGGTCATCTGTATGTCTTCTCTAGAAAAGCGTCTTCAGATTTTCTGCCCACTTTTTAATTGACTTGTTTATCTCCTTGTTCTTAAGTGGTATCAGTACTTTATATAGCTTGGGTATGAACCCCTTATCAGATGTATTTTGCAAATACTTTCTCCCATTTAGTAGGTTACCTTTTCATTTTGTCAATGTTTCTTCACCGTGCTGAAGCTTTTTAGTTTGGCCTAGTCCCAATTGTTCATTTTTGCATTTGTTTCCCTTGCCTTTGGAATTAGAGCCCCCCAAAATTGCCAAGACCAATTGCTTCCTGCCTATATTTTCTTCTAAGTGTCTTATGGTTCAGGTCTTACATTCAAGTCTTTAAACCATTTGGGCTGATTTTTTGTATATAGTGTAAAACAGTGGTCCAGTTTTTCCCACACTGTTTATTAAAGAGAATTTTCTTTCTCCATTGGACATTCTTGCTTCCTCTGTCATAAATTAATTGTCGATATATGTGTGGGTTCATTTCTAGGCTCTTTATTCTGTTCTGTTGATCAGTGTATCTGTTTTTATGTCAATACCATGCTGTTCTGATTACTTTATCTTTGTAGTATAACTTGAAACTAGGGAGTGCTATGCTCCCAGCTTTGTTCTTCTTTCCCAAGAATGTTTTGACTATTTGAGGTTTTCTGTGGTTCTATACAATTTTTAGAATCATTTGTTCTAGTTCTCTGAAAAAAAGGTCATTGGAATTTTGATAGGGATTGCATTGTACCTGTAGATTGCTTCAGGTAGTATGGGCATTTTAACAATATTCTTTGAAATCCGTGAGCACAGAATATCTTTCTATTTATTTGTATCTTCTTCAATTTCTTTCATCAGTGTCCTGCCATTTCAGAGACTTTTACAAGACCTGTACACTAAAAACTATAAGGCATCCTTTTATTTTTGATGCATGGTTTCATTCTGCCTTTGAGGGAGAAGCATTTTATCTAAAGGATACATTAGAAGGAAACAGCCTTGTAAATCCTCTGGGATGAACTCAGAGAGGATCTGAGGCAAATCCAAGGACAAAAGATTCCTCCAGAGCTAACCAGCCAGTGTGTTCACTTAAATCACTCCATACCAAGCTCATCTCTTTGAGGACATGCATGTATACCACACGGTGTGTTTCTTAGAGACAAACACTTTAGAGAATATAAATATTATTATTTGATATGGATCAAAGATACACGGAAAAAGACAGTAACAAAGAGGACAGACAGAGAGAGAAATAAAATCACCTGAAAAGAAAGGAGAGACGGAGGATGACAGAGACAAAGAAGAAACTAGATAAATATGAAACATGGAGAGAAGGGTGTTCATGATTCTATTTGTCAAAGGGAAAGAAGGTAGATATTTTTGTTCTTTGTAGGTTAATATGTAAATGGAATTCTGATTTATTAGCGGTCTCCAGCAGATGAGGTGATGATTAGCACATTTCCATATTTATAGAAAAGCAACACTAACTTTCCGGATTTATAGAAAATCAGCTCTTCACAAATAGCAAATTGTGCTATTATCGACATATGGTTTTCTATAAACAGAGCTGAGGTAATTATCCTTGGGACAATTTGTTGGTGGGCTCCTTTTGAATATTAACCACATTGGAAGCCCATCTCTGCCTCACAGATTTTAAAGAGGAGGGGCCATGAGACACCCCAGACAATTAATTAGTAATCCAACACCAAAGACAGAGCCCAAATGAAAGGCTCTATCCAGGACCACATGGTGGAAAGACCATAGGTCCAGGGTTCTGACGCCAGCTTCCTGTAGCCCTGGGCAAAGTAATTAACCTCCCTGAGGAGCCCCAGCATTTATGGGCTAAAACTGGGATAATACCAACCTCCAAGTGTTGTCAAGAAAACGAAATGAGAATGTACACAACAATACCAGAAACTAGTAGGCCCTCAACAAACATTAGCTGTGCTTCCTTCCTTACATTTTTGAATGATTCTTTAAAAAGTTGATAGACGTTTTTCAAACTCCTTTTTTATACTGACCTATCATCAACGGTTTTGTGTCATGACTCCATATGGGTATAGCTGGAAAAGATTCCTTGAAGCAATAACTTATATTCACTACCTGTAAGCCTTTATGATATTCTCTAGTCTCTTCTTTGTTGTTGTTGTTGGGTAAAATGTTATTAGTGATCCATATATTGATTTTAAGACCTGCTGTTAGGAAGGAGGTACTCTGCTCCCAGAGGGTGGGGACCATGTTTGAATTTGCTCACCATTGTATCTCCAAAGCAAATACATAATAGAGACTCAAGAGATACTTGAATTATAAAGAACTGGATACATGGCTAGATGGATGAATTAACAAATGACCCAACCAGGAATCTAAACGAATGCCCCCTTTCAAACTCCATGTCTTGTTTTATATACTCACTATGCACTTAGTGCTGTGCTGAGAGTTAAAGAGATAAGTAAGTGTCAAATCTAATCCTTGCTTTCAAAGATCTTGCTATCTAGATGAGAAAAATATTATAATTTGGAAAATTTTATTTTGAAGATTAAAGAGTGTGGAATTTATGTGAATGTGCTAAAGGAAAGAAATGGACAGCCTGGGCTGGTGCAGTCAGGGAACATTCTTGAAACTGGGAATTTGCTTTGAAACTGGGAATTTGCTTTGAAATAGGTATCGATTTCTCGGCCTTCTACTCACTCATTGACAAGGTCAGTCATTCTCAAACCATAGTTAGCACCAAAATCACCAGGAAGGCTTGTTAAAATACAGACCCCTGGGTCCTCCACCAGTTTCTGATTTAGTAGGTTTGGGATGGGGTCCTGATAATTTACATTTCTAACAGGTTCCCTGATCCTGATGTTGCAGTTAAAATCCACACTTTGAGAATCACCTTTCTAGCCATTTGGCATAAGACCATGAAAGCTCCTGATGCCATGCTAGGGAGTTTAGCCATTCAGCATTTTAGGCAAATAAGTGATATCATTGTATCCATAAAGTAGAAAGATCATTCTGGGAGCAGTTTTGAGACGGGATTGCTGAGGTGGGCCCTCCCCTAGATTTAAGAGCCAAAGCAGTGGTAAGTGATAGGTGGGAACCCAGCCTTGCCCTGTACGAGTGAACAGGGAGGAAAGGGGCAGGCTGAGGGCTGCTCTGGAGCCAGAACTGAAGGTTCTTTGAGATCTGCAGGGTAAAGGAAGGGGAGGGATCTGGGATGACTCCAGGTTTCTAGCATCACGGACCGATTATATAGCTGTTCCGTTAACTAAGAATCTATATTTGTAAGTTTTAACATTTTAAATAACAAAACCCCAAATACCATTTGTTATCAAGAAGGTTAACAGTAGTGTAATTGAAAACACGTAGTTTTGGGGAGCCAGACAAGTCTGAGTTCAAATCTTGTTTGTGATACTTCCCAGTTAGTCTTTGCGCCTTTCTGGACCTCAGTTCCCCGTAGACAGTAATACTCTCAACTGGGATGGCTACTACAACATACTTCTTCGTTTTTCTCCCTCTGTTCTGCCCCCCAGTCCATTGCCACCTCCACATATCTCCCTTCTGTAATTGCAGCACTGCACTGTGCCACCTTCTACACAAGTATTATGCCTGTTACCTTACACTGCTGTCCCCCAGGAGATCACGCATGGCTCCTACTCAGTGCTCAGAAAACTGCAAACCACATCCTGACGTATGCATTGGCTGCTGTTTGCATAAAGTTCTGTTCTACTTACCATATGATTCCATTTTCTCTCTGTTAATTACCAGGATATATTCATAAACGCCGCCCATCGATCCAGACGTTATGTAATGAGTGCCGTAGTCATTGATGAACTTGGCATACATGCCATAATTGTACTGCTCTGGGAGCTCCATTAATGACTGAAGCATGCCTTCATCCAGCATAATATTGTCCCTCCTCATCTTAAAATGAGCAGTCTGCACCTTTGTGGAAATTCTCATGAAGCTATATGTCTGCCAGCAACCACCACCATGGAATAAGGGAAAAGAAGAAAGAGAGGCCACATTTTACTACATAACATAACACAAAAGGTAGCATTTAGTAGCTGTGGGCAATATGTATATTTACATATAAACACATGAGCACAAATACATTATTAGTAGTCTATTTTACAAGCATCTGTGAAACACTGAGGTGTGCCTGGCTGCCTTTCCCATACCTGTGTCTCTGTTCTTACCGCCCCTGTTCAGGTGCCCTTCTCCTCAACTCTCATCTGGGTTGGTCCCTGCAGTGTGGTTCATGGTGCTGTTCACTCTGATCTGGCCCCAGTCCATTGTCACCTCCACATGCCTCCCTCCTCTAATTACAGCACTGTATGAAGCAACCTTCTACGCAAGTATTCGGTATCCAGTTACAATAATGCTTAGGAGTATTTTTGATGATATGGCAGGAAGTGCCAGCCTTATACATTGATGTAACTTACTGAACAAATACGTGTAGGAGCCTGTAGTCACTTGCATTGTGCTAGGAGCAGAGAACGTAATCTTCAATGAGAGAGAGGTCCCTGCCATGATGGATCTTACGTTCTAGTGGGAATCTTACACTGTTAAGGAATAAAGTAAAGCAGGCTCCCGAGATAGTAAAAAAGAGGCAGGAGTTGGGTCATATTGAGTTGGTTTAAGAGGAAGGGAATTGGGGCACCTGGGTGGCTCAGTCACTTAAGTGTCTGACTCTTGGTTTTGGCTCAGGTCATGGTTTTAGGGTTGTGAGATTGAGCCCCATGTCAGGCTCCACACTGGAAAGGGAGTCTGCTTAAGATTCTTTTTCTTTTCCTCTATCCTTCCCCTGTTCAGGCTCTCTTGTGCGTGCACTCTCTCTCTCTCTCAAAACAAAAACAAAAACAAAACGATTAAGAGGAAGAGGGTTGTGTATGGGCATTATTTCCAAGTAAATCTTAATCCCAAGGGGTAGTGAAATTTTGAAAAGACCATCTGCCTTGAAAAAAGTCCCCATGACCATGTGATAGCCAGATCTCAGAACAATATTTTCCCTTCACAGTGACAGCTGACTTGTGGCAAAGCTCCAGAATGTAATTTATATATTGTTAACTAAGGTAACTTTCGTAAGTCCTTCATTTTCATCATCCAGAATAATTTTTGAATCCCAACTAAATCCACAGTGCTGGTATCAATATTGTTGCGGCTTTTCAGTATACTCTGAATCAGTTCAGAAAATATTACACTGGCTCCTGATGATTTCTCCATCCTCATTACTCACTATGTTTCCTTCCCACCCTATGCATCAGCTGGTTGAAGGCCTTGCAATCCCGTTAGTGTGAGGCAATCTGTCATCTCCAGGCCTTCGCACACTGCCGTTTCCCAGGCCCAGAGTACCCCTCACTGACTCCCGCCTCTCTTCATCAGGACAACCTGTATTAGTTTTTAGACCCCAGTTTAGGTGGATGGATGTCCCTTCCTCAGGGAAGCACTGCCTGGTTGCTCAGATTAATAGGGAGTTAGTGGTGAACATTTGATGAATCAGTGAATGATGGACGGAGCATACCAGTCCTCCAATCTATTCCAAAAAGCAAGGCTTGCTTCCGAATTCTTCCCAACCTAGTTTACATGGCCTGGCTGTTTCTCTTTAAGACATTACTATTCTAAGTATTTCCCTGTTTGCTCCAGGTAACCATGAAAAAGAATGGGGTGAGGTGATAAGAGTTCTCCTCTTATCATTCAATTTTATTCCCTTTGTGATGATTCTGTGTGCAAAAGCATAATAAGAAAAACAAACATGATTACCACTGATCAGACATTTCCAATTACCCAAGCAAATGCAGGTTCAATTACTACTTTACTTTTTAATGCAATTAAGGTAATACATGTTCCGTGTAGATTATGGACTACTGTTTGACACAGGCATTATACTGTAATACCTTTTCATTATACTTGTTTAACTCCTCCAAGAACAAAGAGTCTCGTGACCCAGATGCACCCACATCCACGGTCACAGGAGTGCGTACGGGGCCCACACCTAGAGTCACTCCGACCGACACTGACATGTCATTTTTTACTTTAGAAAGAAGGTCACGTGCATCATCGTGCAGCTCTGAGGAGAGTCTGGTGTCTGCCAGGGCCTGAAAAGGAGCAAACAGATGTTAGCTTTGTACACCCAGTTATGTTCTGATTTGTGCTTAATATTTAAATCTTTGCTCTGTAAAATATCACCAAGCAGATTATCATCGATAATTATGTTAAAAGGCTACTCCAGGCATCCGACTGATGCTCACTCACTAAAATGCCGAAAATACGGCAGTTAGTTTAGGTATCGCTTAGCGGCAGTGCTGAAATATTTATTTAAATATGCACACACGCACTCATGATTCTGATCAAATGCTGTATTGTTCTGGGTATGGATTTTTTCCAACTGATTCATCCTTCCTGTAGAGAAAGTCACCCATCTCTGCAATGGAGGCATCCAGAAAGCCACATCTGGGTGCGGATCTGGGAGGAAAGGAACAAGGAAGCCAAGCCAGTGAGGGGCTCTCTAGGCAGATTTATGCTCTCATGCTGCCCCATATGTGGGATTCCTTCATTCCAGGCAGGCAGTAGGCTTGTATGATTCTGCCAGCATGGTCCTGTGCCTGGCCTGAGCTGAGAAAGCAAGAGTTAAGCACACGAGTGGTTTGCTTGGCCATCACAAGAGCATGTGTCGAGATGGAGCCTAATTAGTTTGGGTCCCGAGTATCTGTGATGATGAGCTCCCCTTCCACCCTGGGACGGATGCGCAGCATAGGACACTGTTGCTTTAAAGCGCTGAGATTTTGGAATCCTTTGTTGCGCAACATAGCCTCGTCTGTCTTGCTGGACATGTAATCCCCAGACCATCCTTGGGCTTAGGGGAATGGCGATGTCTGTGTCTTCCTCCTAGGCTTACCATAGGCTTGATGATAGTAGTGGAAGTCCAGTGGGTGGTGGGGAGACCCCATAAACCTGGCCTTGGCCTTCTCTTGAGAAAACTGGAGGAGGGGGAGTATGACTAATAATTGTCCATAATCCTTGAATCCTACCATCTCTCTGTAAAGATAGAATGCATATGACTACATGCGTATAATGTGTATAATCTGTCTTCCCTTCTAAACGACATAGAGCCGGCCTCTGCCGAGCTAGATCTGGGTTTGAATCTTGTTTCTGCCACTTAGTGCAGTCCACCTTGCAGCCTGACACTTTATCCCTCTAAGTCTCTGGGTCTTTTTCCTTTCTAAAATGGGGCAGTGGTAATCTCTACCTCCTTCTATTATTGTGAGATTAAATGAGAGGCTTTGCATGGAGATATATGATCTGGGGCATAGTGAGCATCCAGGGATGTCTGTGTGTCCCTCTCACCCAGAGGGGAAGGGACATGGAAAGGAATGGTCAGGAGTGGACTCTGGAACTGGTCATGAGCCATGGGGTGCTCTGAGTGCCCAGGAAACGGCAGAATTTTAGAGAAGGAGAGGATTTAGGGATCATCCGCATCTTGCAAACACTTCTCAACAGCAGAACCGTTCTGTAAACAAAATCCCATATGGAAAACCAAGATAGGAAAGTTATCAGAGAAAGACAAATACCATGTGTGGCATACAGGAAAAAAGAGACGAACAAAACAAGATTCTTAAATATGGAGAACAAACAGGTGGTTACCAGAGGGAAGGTGGGGGAGGATGTGAAAAGAATTATGAGTGCGTTTATCATGAAGGGCACAAGGTGTTGTATGGATTGGTTGAATCACTGTATTGTACACCTGAAACTAACTAACACTGTATGTTAACTGTACTGGAATTTAAAAAAAAGATGAAAGAAAGAAAGAAAGAAAGGAAGGAAGGGAGAAAGAAAGAAAGGAGATGACCAGTGGGCAGCTGCCCTTGATGAGACAGGGACCTTGGGCTCAGAACCCTGCCCAGCTACTTCCTGTCCTGACCCCCAATTTATACAGAGGGAAACTGGGTCCAGGGAGGGACAGGGAGCTTCTCAAGGTCTCAAATACTTCTATTCTAACAAAGCACAACTGGAAATAGGTCATCTGACTAGCAGAGAACTGGACCTCGAATCTGTTTCATTGATTATGGAATGGAGTCAAGATGTGGCAGGTGGGTGGCCACACTTCTGTTCTGCCTCTCGTCGGCCCTGCCCTTGCCTGTCAGTGCCCTTCAGCACAGAGCATGTGTGGGGGCAGACGGAAAGGGAGCTTCAGCCACCAGCAGGCTCTGCGGGAAGTAGAATCTCCAGAAGCTAGGAGTCCATGTCCAGCAACAGGCCTCTCTCCCTCCCCACCCCCACCCTGCAGTGGTCTGTGAGCGCCCTGTGCAGACTTACCTTAAAGTGGTACATGAGGATGTTGTAGGGTTTCCGGAAGTACTTCTCATCCTCTCCATAGTAAAGATGCTCACAGGCGGGGTCATATCGAAGCTCCCTCCATTCCCCATTGTAGACTGTCTCACACTGGCCGCCAAAATACCTGGCGTCATACACGCTCTGGGCTTCTTCCTGGATCAGGATATTGTACCTAAATCGAAAAGGCAGGCAGCTTCTGGGAAAGAACACTGGAAAGGCAAAGACGGCATCCTCTGGAAGATGTTACTGCTGGTCTGAGCAGTGGCTTCTCAAGCTGTGTTCTGCAGACCCCTAGGGTTCCTCAAAGTACCTTAAACTCCATTTTGGGTAACACTGGAAACCTGAGTGGGCTCAGCCAGGCCCCCAGTTTCCCTTTGACCAAAGCAGCAGACAGCTCCATCAGCACCTAGAACAGTGCTCCCATGAGAAGCTACTCTTAAAAGTTTGTTGTGCGAGTTACAGAGGAATGAATATGCATCATTATCAAAACTCCAAGCCCAGAGCCCAACAGCCGGAGCCCATTTCCCAGCTCTGCCACACCTAGCTGTGTGACCTTGGGCAAATCACTTAACCTCTCTGTGCCTCAGTTTAGTCATTTGTAAGAAGCAGTTAATGCTACTGCCTTCAGAGAGTTAAATGCAAGTTCAACATGGAAAGGAACCAGAAAGCTCTTAGCATATATTTAGTACTGAATAAATGTTGCCATTGCTGTTTTTGTTTGTACTGTTTCAGAAAAAGGCTCTGTGGGTGAAAAAAAAAAAAATAGGTTTAACATATCAACTCTCAGTGCTAAGGTGAAAAGCTAATCCACAGAAAGGCCATTGTCTCCAGGACAGCATGGAATGTTACAGGGTACAATTTGAAAATCATGGAGACTCCTGTTTTATTTCTAGCTCAGTCATGTACTAGCTGTGTGAATCTGGACAGATTCTGGATACATTCTGAAGCCCGTTTTCTGCATTTGAAGAAGAGAAATAATAAAACTACTTCTTGTGGGTTTTGTGACATCTAAATGAGAGTATTAAAGTAAAATGGAAGTAAAGTTGTAGTACAGATTAGGCGCTCCAGAAATGATACTTCCTCTCCCCTAGCCCAGTACTCTTCCAGAAACACTTTCCCTTGCTTCCCTCTCTGGGGTATTTCATAATCATCTGCCCAAGAACTGCATTTTAGGCTCTAGATAGTAGAATGGTATTTAGGCACAAACAGTGTCACACAGGTGAAATACAGCTTTAATATTCTAAAAAAGAGAAGGTTAACTAAACAAAAGCATTTCAATTTGGTTAAGAGATCCAAGGCCTAACAATCAAAGCCTCTTATGGTATAGATAATAAAATGACTACTTGTCTCTGCCTTTCAAACTCCTATTCAGCCTTTAAAACCCAACTTAAACATTGCCCTCTCTGTCTGACCTTCTTTGATTATCCTGGACAGAGAGGTGTTCCTTCCTCTGTATTTACATGGCATTCAGTGATTACCTTTGGCATAGCATCTGTCATATTTGTTCCTTCCCTCCATGAAAAGGCACAAAGGCAGAAGATGAGCAGGGGGTTAACTATGAATAAAACCTGCCTTTGAAGGGATAAATGGATAATTATAGAGTACCTGACATATAGTACAAATTCAAGGTATGTTACCTTTCTTCTTCACCTCTTCTCTCCGTCTCTTTCTTCATATTAATGGAAATGATGTAGTAATAGCTATGGTGAATTGAATATACACTCTACCAGACATTTAGCATACATTAACTTTCAACCTCATGACAATCTTACAAATGAGAAGTTGAAGCTCAGAAAAATTAGGTAATTTGCCTATAGTCACAGCTAAATTTTCTTTGACACTAAAATCTGGGTTCCTTCCCTTTACTTTGCCCCTTACTTTTCTGTCTTTCTGCCCTTTTGAACATGTTTCTGCCTTTGGGTTATAAATACTGGCTCTCTGGTGGGCCAAACAAAAAGTCAAAGGAATAATTAGTCCTAAGATTGTACTCTAACCTCTAAGCATAAAAGGTTATTAAGACTAGGTACTCTTAGTAAAGCTGATTGCGGAACCCACCAGATTGAAAACGAAAAGATATAGAGAAATTCCACTTTTTGGAAATCTATGCAGAAATATTCACATGTACAAAGATAACATACAAGGATGTTCATTGCAGCATTGTTTATCAGAGGAAAAAATGGGGGAAAATCTAATTATCCTTCAATAGGAAGCAGCCAAATAAATTTTCATGTAGTTATACCTTGGGAGAAGAGTCAGCAATTTTTTTAAAAATAAAGGACCAGATATTAAATATGTTAGGCTTTACAGGCCATAGGTCTTTGTTGCAAATACTCAACTCCCGTCATTGCAGGGTGAAAGCTGTATCCCAATAAAACTTTAATTACAAAAACAGACAACAGGCTAAATTTGGTCTTGAGGCCAAAGTTTACTGACCCCTGTTATAGAACACTGTGTTGCTTAGAAAAAGAATAGAAAATGTGGGAGGAAATCTTCAAAAATATATTATTAAGTTAAAAAAAAAGCAAGTTACACACCGTATATGTAGTATGATCCCATGTATGTAAAATAAACTTATGTCTATCATGCACAATACCTATGGGCATATCTTCCATACAATATATATTGTCAGTGCATCGTTTACATGATCTGAAAGTCCTACACCAAACTGTTGACAGGGGTCAGTTCCAGGGAGAGAAGTGAGGGGCGTGACTGAGTGGAGTACAGGTTGGGGACGGCGAAGGAAGACTTTTGGTTTTTACCTCAAACATGTATTCTTAAAAAAAAAAAAAAAGATTTTATTCATTTATTTGACAGTGCACAAGCAAAGGGAGTGGTAGGCAGAGGAAGAGGGAGAAGCATTCTCCCCACTAACCTGGGAGCCCAATGTGGGACTTGATCCCAGGACCCTGGCATCATGACCTGAGCTGAAAGCAGGAGCTTAACCAACTGAGCCACCCAGACGCCCAACATGCATTAATTCTATAGCAATAAATAAAAATCTAAAAACTAGAACATGCTTAAATTAAAAAAAAAAAAAAAAGGACACCAGGAAAGGTTTCTGAGATCTTGAGCAGAATGAAAAACTGCCAAGTGTCAGCTATTGGGAGTGGAGATGGGACCATCCTGCTGGTCAAAGCACCCTCAGGAAGTATATTTCAATGCTGCTTTGACTCACGTGAGAGCAAGGTCATGGTCTGCGATCTTTTTGCCAATAAAGAGGGAAATCTTTTTCTCAAGTTAACACCTCACTATTTCATACTTCTATTCTGTTTAGCCCACGTTCACTTTAAAAATCAACAAAATCCCCTTTTATTAGTATTAGGGGCTGAATTGTGTCCCCTTAACATTTAGATGTGGAAGTCTGGGACCCCAAAACTTCAGAATTTGACTGTATTTTGATGAGATGGTCTCTATGTAGGAATTGAGTTAAAATGGGACCATTACTGGGCCTTAATCTAATATGCTTGTGTCCTTATAAGAAGAGATTAGGGAGCACCTGGGGGGCTCAGTCAGTTAAGCAGCTGACTCTGGATTTTGACTCAGGTCATGATCTCAGAGTCCCGGGACTAAGTCTCCACACTGGGCTTCACACTCAATGGGGAGTCTGCTTAAGGATTCTCTCTCTTCTTCTGCCCTACCTCTGCTTGCACGCACTCTCTCTCTCTCTCAAATAAATAAACCTTTCTTTAAAAAGAAGATGATGATGATGAATAAGAGGGGCGCTTGGGCGGCTCATCTGGTTAAGCATCCATCTCTTGATTTTAGTTCAGGTCATGATCTCAGGGTCATGAGAAGGAGCCCTGCATAGGGCTCTGTGCTCAGAGAGGAATCTGCTTGAGATTCTCTCTCTCCCTCTCCCTTTGCCCCTCCCCCTGCTCTCTCCCTCTTAAATAAATAAAATCTTTAAAAAACAAAGAGCGATTAGGACCCAGACACCCACAGAAGGAAGGACAAGCCAAGGAGAATGGCCTCAGAAGAAGCCAACCTACCACCACCTTGACCTCAGACTTCCAGCCTCGAGAACTATGAGAAATCAATTTCTGTTGCTTATAAGCCACCCAGTGTGTGGCATTTTGTAATAGTCACCCAAGAGATAGTCACCGAGTGGACCAGTATCCCACCTCAGGGAGACAGTGGGAGCTGCCTCACCAGACACACGGCACTAAGATCTTCTTCCGTCCTCAAAACAAGACTCATGGTTAAAGGGCAACCATTCCCTGCTCCCAAACAACCTGAGGGCAGGACTCACCCCAAGGCCGCTTTCTCTGATCCTGGAATGGGGTCATACAGGGTGCAGTCAAATTCAGGGACCCTGACATCTTCACAGTCATCCTCGTCAGAGCCATCAAGGCAGTCATTGTCTCCGTTACACACCAGGTGGCGTTTCAGGCAGCGACCTGAGAGAAGAGAGGCTGTAGATGCTTCCAGAGCCTCCCAGACTCTCCCTTTCCTGGTGACCTGCATCCATAGTCACCAAATCCATCCCACTTCTGAAACAGCCCCTCACCCCTTTCCATGATCATCTCTCCATCCTCGCTGCCTCTTCCTTCCAGCCTCTCCGTCTCCCACATGTAGCCCCGCCCCCAGCTCAGGCCCTGCAGCAGGCTCCTCTCTAAAACTCATCCTCCACGTGGCAGCTCCTGTGATCTCTCTAAAATGTCAGCGTAGCCTTGTCATCCCCCTGCCCCATAGCCTTCCCATTCGTCCAAATGCTGCAGTCTGGTCCCCAGTACCCTACTGGACCCATCCCCTGCCTCTCTTCCCAGAGCCCTGACCTGCAATCATTCTGCACCTATTGCCAGTCCCTAAATCCCTGGGTGTGTTTGCACATTCTTGTTCTTAGCAAATTCATTGCTGCTTCTAAGTCTCAGTTCAAGTGCTATTTTAAAGCCTGTTCTGACTTCCCCAACACAGATCAGGGCATCCCCTGCCAGTGAGGGTCATTGGACCGTGGGCCTGTGCCCATTACACTGCCTATCACTCAGTATTGCCACCGACTCCCTGTAGGTCTCTCTCCCAAAGAGACGAGGAGTACCTCGAGGTCAGGCACATTATCTTTTCATATCCGGGTCACCAGCAGTTAGCACCCTCCCTGGCACATACATGCCCAGTCAATATTTATTCAATGAATGGGTGACTGAGTGAATTGTACCTTTTCTAAACAAGTCAACAGATACTCCGACATACTCACATCAAAATTACTTGGGCTGCTGGGTTGGCTTAAAATGCAGATCCCTGAACCCCATTCCAAACCTATGGAATGACAACTTCCGGGGAAGGGCTGAGCAGTCAGTCTTTTAACAAGCTCCTGGGTGACTGTTTTTCACATTTGGTCTGGTGGGGCACACCTGTTATCCCACTGGATGCCACTCACCTGTCTCCTTACACTGGAAATCCTCTCCACACTGTGCTTGACTTACGCAAGCTGTGGGATTGTGACAGCTGATTTGATCCCAGATGTCGCCACTGCACATGGTTCCCCCAAACTTGTTGGGCTGCAGGAGGCTCCGATGTCGGTACTAAATTGGATTTCAAAGCAGACACTTTCATTGTCTATCAATCAAACAAGATTTGTGCTGGCAGATCTCAGCTCAACATAAGGACTAACTGTCTAATGATTGAGAGCTGCCTAAAAAGCTGTCTTCTGAAGGGATGAGTATTCCTAAATGGTGGTGTTCAGCCAGAGGGGGCAGGGATATTGAATAGGGCCTCCAAAGATCAAATGGAAACCTTGTTAGGAAGGACCTTCTCCCCCCACCTTCAACCAGTTGGTACCTATCCATCTTTCATGACTCAATAGTGCACCCCTCTACATATTCTAGAGTTCTGTGTGCCTCCTTCTCCTCTCACTTGTCAAATAAGGTTGTTGTTATCCCTGGTCTACTTACTTATTTACCTTTCTCACTAGTTTAAGAACAGTTTGCATGTAAGAGGAGGAGTGAAAGGAGGACCTTGTCTTACTTGGTTTCATACCATTGACACTTGATCTATGGTCTATGCAGGAGGCACTTTTATAAGCTGTTTATTGCTTTCCCTCTATACCATTTCTTCTGGCCATGGCATCCTCTCTTTCCTTGGGACACATCTCATATGGTTCAGGTGGGGATGTTCTCACCCCTCAAGTCATGGGAATGCGTGAGTTTGAACCAGGTCCAGCCAACCAGAGCACTATATCTGCCAAATTGCAATGATTGGTTTAGGGTTTGGTTCATAACTCAACCTTAGAGCAATAATTATTCTCCCCGAAGATTTTCTTTCAGAACTATTGGAAAAGATCATTTCTTTTTGCTGAAGTTGCTGGGAACTGTGGGCATCAAGTGGTCCTCTAGCCTACTATGTAGAAAGAGCCCATCCAAGAGATAGAGACAACATCTGAATCCCTGGGTCCAGCTTTGATTGCACACAAGCGAATACCTGTTCAAAGAAGAACAGGAAGAATAAAAATGCATACCAATCTTGGAGCTCTCTGGTTTCATGATACTGCTTTCTATATGGTATACAACTTCGGGCACTAGTGTAGAAGGAGGAAGTTGAACACTAAGATATTTGGAGAAGTATGAGGTTCCATTCCCACCTTCAAGTAGCTTAAAGTCTACTTGAGGAGATAAAATAGATAATAATAGGAAACATGCTGTGTAAAGAGTTCCATGTCGAGTGTCCACAAAGGGAATTTGCAGCACTGTATTTTCTGTTGCTTTTTGCCTTGGCTCAGCCCACAAGCTCCTCCTTCAAGACTGTTCATAACTGAGTGGGAAAGCAACAGTTTGAGCAGTAAGGAAAGTGGGTTCTTAGCCCAATACACCTACCCGCCATTCTTTCCTCCCTCTCTCCCTCCCTTCCTTCCTTCCTTCTTTCCTTCCTTCCTTCCTTCTTTCCTTCCTTCCTTCCTTCCTTCCTTCCGTCTTTTCTTTCTTTCTTCCCTTTCTTTCTTTCTCTTCTTTCTTTTTCTTTCTTGTTTTGTATAGTTGGTGCACAATATTAAATTAATTTCAGTTGTACAACAGAGTGATACAACTTCTCTATGTTTTAATATGTTCATGAGCATAGCTACAATCTGTCACCATACAATGCTATTACAGTACCATTGACTATATTCTCAATATTGTACTTTTCACTCCTATGACCTACTTATTCCATAACTGGAAACCTGTATCTCTCAATCCCCTTACCATTTTGCCCATTTCCTCTACTCCCAACCCTCTGGCAACCATCAATGTTTTCTCTGTATCTATAGGTTTGGCCTGCTTTTTGTTTGTTTGTTTATTCCTGAATTTATTTCTTGCTTGTTGTATAAAGTATCAGTGCCTGGTACTTTGTGTCTCAGTTTCCAAAATCTGTAAAATGAAGTGGTCAACCGAGGTGACCTCATTAGTTACAGTTACTAATGATTCTTTCACTTGTGTCCTGTAGATACAAGAGCATAAGCATGAGAATTTAGACTGACTGTGTTCAGACCCCAGAGTCACTTACCAAGTCACCAAGAGCAAACTATTTACATTTTCTGAGTTCCTATTTTCTAATGTCAAGTGGATGTGATGACCCCACACTTTGAAAGGGTGTTGTGAGAACTGAGTGAGAGAATGTGTGAGGAAAGCACCCAGCCCCGTGTCTGGCATTTTATTGGTGCTCACTAAACAGAAGTGGTGTCTGCATCATTATCAATGGAGTCTTTTCCAGCTGATTCCACTGGGTGTGTGTAGAACAGGGCAACTTTGCCCTCTCTTTCCTCTTGCCTACTTCTGTCTTCACAATTTCTCATTAGTGAAGAGACAGAAAGGTCTGCAAAAACAAAAAAAAAGTGAAGACCAAACCTGTCTGTTTGCCTTTCCTGCCTCCCAGTTAATAAGATTGTAAACTCAATGGGAAGTGATTATAATTAATGATCAGTTTGGGAATATTAGGATATTTTCATTCTCTTCCCACATCTTGCCAAGATGCAGTACATAAAGGAGGATTCAGCATACCAAGGTAGAGTCAAGTCTTCTCACTCTTCATAAAAGTTCACCAGAGTTTTAAGACCTGCAATTACCAGTATTATGGTGATGGTAGCTACCATTTTTTGAGTGCCTACTACTGGCTGGACACTTCACATTCTTTATCTCATTTAATCGTCACAAGTTGAGGAGGTTAAGCATCATTCTGAATCCCATTTTAAGCTGGGTTGGAATGCCAGTTCTGCTACCTACTATCTGTGTGTCACTGAGTAAATGACTTAACATCTCTGACCCTCCGTTTTCTCATCTGTGGAAGGAGAGATCTGAGAGTCTTGAGGAGACTAGTGATAAGGCATGTAAAGAAGTCAGCACATTGGCCTGGTTCCTGGAATGCACTCACTAATAATAGCTATAACATCAGCATCATTTTTGTTGCCAGCTGTTGGGATATTCCAGAAGGATTTATGGCTGAATGGGGGGGATTGAATTACATGGCCATGAATATCACTTACAACTCTCCACAGGGTTCATGGGGAGGCAATGGAGTGAAATGGTCAGGCACATGGGCATTTGGGGATCAGACTGACCAAGTCTAGGCTGTGCCTCCTTCTTTATGGGTAACCTAACCAAAGGGACAATGGTTTCTATCTATCACAGTTGGCTATGAAAGTCAACTAAGACGATTTACTAAAGCAGGAGCATGGTGCCTGGTATATAGAAATCATTTAATAAATGGTAACTATAAATGCCATCATCATCCTTCTTGTGGTTTCTGTATTGGAATGCTGGTGCAGACACAAGGTTCATTCCCACCAACTCTCCATTTTCTGGGTTATTATCAAATAATGAAGACATTGCTCTGCAGAGAGGCTGGTGCAACTACTCCCTTAGGGACTTCTCCGTGTTGGTACCTCTGTTGGTATCATTAAGACATAATTTTCTTGGTGAGTGCTGTGAAATGTGTAAACCTGGCAATTCACAGACATGTACCCCTGGGAATAAAAATATATTATATGTTAAAAAAATAAAATTTATATTAAAAAAAGACATAATTTTCTTTTCTAGCTAGTCGATAATGTTTCTCTCCAGAAATACACATCTTTGTTTGGGTGATTTTGAGAGAAGGGGAAAAAAACATATTAATAAGAAGAAATTAGGGGTGGTCTTTTGCTTAAGTAATTAACAGAATTTAATGATTTTAAGGATTATTTTAGAGACACATGTGCTTTTTCGAGTCACGAAAGGAGTAATTCAATTCTGATTTTAAATAGTAAGCCATTCACCTATTCTATCTATGTAAACTGCAACACATGAGGAAAAATATATATCATTTAGATGTATAATAAGTTAAATAATGGCCATGCAAAGAAATCAAGTCCTAGTCCTTGAAAATTGTAAATGTTACCTTATTTGGAAGAAAGGGTCTTTTGCAGATATTATCAAGGTTTTTGAAATGAAGAGATTATACTGCATTATCCAGGTAGGCCCTAAATGTCATCGCAGTGTCTCTATAAGGGGAAGGCAGAGGGAGATTTAACACAGACACACAAAGGAGACCCACGGAAGAGGAGGAGGCAATATGGCCGGAGAGACAGAGATTGGAGCATGGAGATCAACCACAAGGCAAAGATCGCCAATGACCACCAGAAGCCAGAAAAGGCAAAGAACAGATTCTCCTCTGCAGAGCCTTCAGAGGGAGTGTGGCTCTGCCAGACTTCCGGCCTCCAGAACTGTGAGAGAACACATTTGTTGTTTTAAGCAACCCAATTTGTGGCAATTTGTTATAGGAGATTCAGAAAACTAACATAGGCTATCAAAGCAAGATGAGATTTTGGGAGCTAGATAATTTTGCACAGTGCAGTCTAGGATTCCTTGGTGTATCTCAGAAACAGGAGAGGCAGAATAAATAATATCACGCTTAGGAGCTGAATAGACTAGGTCCAAATTGTGTTTCCATTTGTAATGATTTTGAATTCCATGTGATTCTGAACAGCTCATTAGACCTTCACAGAGTAGCCCGGCCTCTAGCTGGGGAGTGGGCCTGGAGGCAGGAGAACCACCAGCATGCTCTGCACTGCAGAAGTTCAAGGTGAGGGAAGAGCAGGTCTTGATTTGGGCAGTGGGAGTTGATTGGAGATTGAACATTTATTGTACGCCAGGTGCATGAAAAAAGAGCCCATTGCATACCTTACTCATTTAATACTCATAATAACTCTATGCTAGGAGTACCACTACTGTTTATAGATAAGGAATCATAATACATGTATCAAAATACATGTCCAAAGTAACACAGCAAAGAAGGTGCAAAGCCAGAATCTAAACTGAAGAATCAGAGCCTGAACCCTTGGCCTTGACAGTAGTGTGCCAATATACATGGTTTAGGCAGTGGTCTACCAACTGGGAGAGGTGGGAGCCTGGAGGTGCCTCACCCTGGATGCATCCAGTAAAAGCATGTGTTGTCTGTAGAGATTTTAAAATAGTGATAACCCAGAATAGTAGTTGTTCTGCCTTTTATCATCACCCCGAGCCAGTGATCCTGAACAAGGTCAACTTGAATACCGCCCCCCTCTAGTACAGCAGAGTCCTCCCCAAGTCCCTCTTCCCTTGAGATGCTGCTGGCTTTAGTGACTGATTTGGACTATTCAAAACCATGTCAGCAGGCAAGATAGACTCATGTCTGTTCACTGGGTGTGCCAGTCTTTTCAATACGTGAAAACAGAATCCTCAGGGACATTCTCGGGTTCATCGCAGATACCCATGGATCATTAGTCCCTCTCGATGACCATCCCTGGAGGGCAACGGACTGACCACGACCCAGAGAGGCCAGAGGGATCCGTGTGCCCGTGTCTGAATGGCCACCTCTCTGCCCACAAGCCATAGCATACATATATCTTTGGCAGTCTCGCCCAATAATGGCTTATAAACAAAATCAGAAAAAGTTTCACCATCCATGTGCCCATGGCTTCCAAATACCTATTTCTAGAGATGATTTCTCCCCAGGCCTCTAACTTTATAGACCTTTTTATGTCCATTTAAATGCCTAGTATGCCATTCAAATATAACATGGTCCCAAACTGGTCACGGATGTCTTACCTTTTTGTCCTGGCATGGTAGGCAGTCCGTCCACTCTGACCAGTGGCTGAGCTGGCAGCTAACGGCTCTGGGGCTGGAGTTCTGAACAGCCCGGCTTACTCTCCTAGAGACAGGGGAGACGTCTGCTTCAATTTTTAAAATTCTTATTATGGTGATTTTTAGTTTTGTTATAAATTGAAAAAGATCTTTTAATGTGAAGATATCTTATTAATATGAAAACAGATTAATTTTTCCCCAGCTTTGATGGGGTATACATGACAAGAATTGTATATCTTTTAGATGTATGATGTTATGGTTTGATATACATTGTGAAATGATTAGCACAAGCGAGCTAATTAACACAGCTATTCCCTCACATAGTTTTGTGTGTGTGTGTGTGTGTGTGTGTGTGTGTGTGTAGATCTAGAGATCTCCTCTCTTAGCTAATGTCAAGTACACAGTACAGTACTATTAACCAAAGTCACCATATTATACATTAGGTCCCCTGAACTTATTCATTTATGACTGAATATTTTGATAATGTGACCAACCCCTCCCCAAGCCCCCCTTTGTGGCCATCATTCGACTCTCTAGTTCTATGAGTCAAACTTCTTTAGGTTCCACATATAAGAGAGATCATGCGCTATTGGCTTCCCTGTCAGTCATTTCACTTATATACTGTCCTTCAGGTTCATCCATGTTGTTGCAAATGGCCCGAGTTCCTTCTTCTTTAGAACCAATCAGATACTGAATTTTTTAATCTTCTAAAATTCAAATATAATTAACGTACAGTATTATATTAGTTTAGGTATACAATATAATGATTCATTAACTCTATACATTACTCAGTGCTCATCAAGATAAATGTACTTTTAATCCCCTTTATCTGTTTCTCCCCTCTTCCCCACCAGCTCCCCTCTGGCAACCACCAGTTTGTTGTCTGTATTTAAAAGTCTATTATTTTCCCTTTTCCTCTTTTTTTTTTTTTCTGTTCATTTGTTTCATTTCTTAAGTTTCACATATCAGTGAAATCAAATGTATTTGTCTTTCCCTGTCTGGCTTATTTCACTTAGCATTGTATTCTCTAGATCCATCCTTGTTGTTGCAAATTCAAGATTTTATTCTTTTTTATGGCCAAGTAATATTCCAATATATACACATGACATCATTATCCATTTATCTATTGATGGACACTTGAATTGCTTCCATAGCTAGGCTGTTGTCAATAATGCTGCAATAAAAACAAGGGTGCCTATATCTTTTCAAATTACTGTTTTCATATTCTTTAGGTAAATAGTCAGTAGTGTAATTACAGGATCATATGGTAATTCTGTTTTTCATTTTTTGAGAAACCTCGAGACTGTTTTCCACAGTGGCCACACCAGCTTGCATTCCCACCAACAGTGCACAAGGGTTCCTTTTTCTCCACATCCTCACGGACACCTGTTGTTTCTTGTGTTTTTTATTTTAGTCATTCTGACAGCTGAGAGGTGATATCTCATCATGGTTTTGATTTGCATTTCCCTGTTGATTAGTGATGTTGAGCACCTTTTCATGTGCCTGTATGTCTTCTTTGGGGAAAAAAAAGTCTATTCATATCCTCTGTCCCTTTTTAATTGGATTATTTAGTTTTTTGATGTTGAGTTGGTGTTGGATATTAACCTTTATCTAATATATCATTTACAAATATCTTCTCCCATTCAGTAGATTGGCTTTTTGTTTTCTCGATGGTTTCCTTCACTGTGCAAACACTTTTTATTTTGGTGTGGTCCCAGTAGTTTCATTTTGCTTTTGTTTCTCTTGCCAAAAGAGACATATCTAGAAAAATGTTTCTACAGATGATGTCAAAGAGACTGCTGCCTATTTTTTCTTCTAGGAATTTTATGGTTTCAGGTCTGGCATTTAGGTCTTTCACCCATTTGAGTTTATTTTTGTGCATGGTCTAAGAAAGTGGTCCAGTTTTATTCTTTTGCCTATAGCTATCCAGCTATCCTAGCACTATTCATTGAAGAGACTATTTTTATTCCATTGTATATTCTTGTCTCCTTTGTTGTGGATAATTGACCATAAATGCGTGGGTTTATTTTTGGGTTTTCTATTCTGTTCTGTTGATGTAAGTGTCCATTTTTGTGCCAGTACCATACTGTTTTGATTACTGTAGTTTTTAGTATATCCTGACATCTGTGATTATGATATCTCCAGTTTTGTTATTCTTGTTCAGGATTGGTTGGGCTATTTGGGGTCTTTTGTGGTTCCATAGAAATTTTAGGATTATTTGTTCTGGTTCTGTGAAAAATTATCTTTTGTATTTTGGTAGGGATTGCATTAAGTCTATAGGTTGCTCTGGATAGTATGGACATTTTAACAATACATTTGACAATACTCTATGCAGGTGTGATGCTGGTGGGTTTATATAAATTATCTCTTAATTTTAATAGATTTCCGGTAGAGTCTTCAAGGTGTTCTATGTATACTATCATGTCATCTGAAAATAGTGACAGTTTTACTTCTTTCTTACCAATTTGGATATATTTTATTTCTTTCTCATCAGATTGCTGTGACCAGAACTTCCAGGACTACGTTGAACAAAAGGCGTGATAGTGGACATCCTTGTCTTGTTCCTGGTCTTAGAGAAAGAGCTCTCCATTTTCACCAGTGAGTATGTTAGCTGTGGGCTTGCCATATATGACCTTTAGTATGTTGAGGTGTGTTCCCTCTAAAACTACTTTTTGAGAGTTTTTATCATTAATGGATGTCAAATTTTGTCAAATTCTTTTTCTGCCTCTATTGAGATGATCATTTTTATCTTTCATTTTATTAATGTAGTATATCATGTTGATTGATTTGTGAATATTGAACCATTCTTACATCCTTGGAATAAATCCCACTAGATCATGGTGAATGATCCTTTTAATGTGTTGGTGGATGTGGTTTGCTAATATTTTGTTGAGGATTTTTGCATCTGTTTTCATCAGAGATGGCTTGTACTTTTCTTATGTGTTGCCTTAGTTTTTTGGTATCAGAGTAAGACTGGCCTTATAGAGTGTATTTGGAAGCTTTCCTTCCTCTTCTATTTTTTGAATTAGTTTGAGGAGAATAAGTATTAACTCTTCTTTAATAGTTTGGTGGGATTCATCTTTGAATCTGTCTGGTCCTGGACTTCTGTTTATTGGAATTTTCTGATTACTGGTTCCATTTTGTTAGTAATAATCAGTCTGTTCAGATTTTGTTTGTTCCCGATTTAGTTTTGGAAGATTGTCAATTTCTAGGAATTTACCTATTTCTGCTAGGTTGCTCAATTTGTTGTCATATAATTTTTTGTAGTAGTCTTTTATAATCCTTTGTATTTCTGTGGTGTCAGTTCTCTTCTTTCACTTTGGATTTTATCTATTTTGGTTCTTTTTCTTGATGAGTCCAGCCAAAAATTTACCAATTTTGTTTATCTTTTCAAAGAATCAGGAGAACTAACAATTGTCTTTGAAGACTCAGGGTAGCAGAAATCCCAGTGGTTAAGAACATGGGGTTTGGGGTGAGAGGACTAACTTTGAATCTTGCCACCTGCTGACTTGGAAATCTGGTTACTTAACATCTCTTAGCTACAGCTTTCCCATCTATGGGAAATTTTTAACTATGCTAAAAACAACATTACCTGATGGAGTTATTGACAATATGTTAAAATACTTATGAAGTATTTGTTAAAGGTTGGCTTTTTGTTATTACATGTTAGGATGTTCCATGAATTACCTCATCATTTAATTCTCTATAATGATCCTAGGAGGCAAATATCATTAGCCCCATTTATATATAAGAAAGCTGAGATTCTTAAGAGCTAAGTAGTCCCAGAAGTCACAGCCCAAGGGTGACAAAAAGGCAGAATTTGACCTAGTTGGTTTGATGGCAGAGCCCGTGTTCATTTCCTCATCATGCTGCTGTTTCTTCATTTCACAGACCAGCCAACAGAATCGAGAGAGTGAGAGCCTTGCCCAGGGTAGTGCAGGTAGAAGGTAGAAACTGGTCTTTCTCCAAGGCTATGTTCTTCCTGTTACCCCATGTTGCCTCCTCAGAGGTTAAAGAGCTTGTCCAGGTCACACAGAGTGAGGTGGACAAGCCACAAGCTTGCCTGGCTCCAAGCCTGAGCTTCTTCCCACAACATCATTACTGCGACTGCAGTGTTAGAGCATGGTCAGCCCACTGAGCAAAGATTGTAGGAAGACTGTCTGTTACCCCTAGTATTACCATAATTTCGGAAAACCAGGCAGCCTCTGTTGTGACGAATGGCATGATTATCACCCTATCATAGGAAAAGGGGTGCTTCACATCTCATACTAGTTATTCCATGAGTCACTAGTCATGATGAATGATGACACCCAGGTTGAAATCCAAGACAAGGAGCCATGGGGAAAGCAATGTTCATCTTTAACACTGGTTTTCAAACTTGGGTCCCAGGACTCTTGTACACTCTAATATATCATGGAGGACTGCAAAGAGCCTTTGTTTAAGTGGGTTGCGTCTACTGATACTCACAACAGTCAAAATCAGAACAGGAATTTTAGCAATATATATTTATTGATCTATAGATAGATACATACTTAGCAATATGTATCTATTTTGATTTTAATACCAAACCCATTACGTGTTACAGTATATGCCATAATTTTATTTGAAAACAGATTTCCTTGAAAAATAATTAGTGAAAAGTATGTCATTAGTCTTCATGTTTGCAACTGTGTTTAATGTTTGAGTTAGTAGAATGCAGTTCGAGTCTCATTTCTGCTTCTTCAATCTGTTGCTTTTGTTGAGGTTTTTGAAGAAAATCAACGTCTTAGATGTATATAGTTGAAAATGTTACACAGTTGAGGGGAATTTTAACAGTCTTTTCAGATCACTGTGGGTATTCTTCTTTGATACTACACCACAACTTTGACAAGTGGTAATTTTTAAAATGTTAGTTACAATATGGAATCTGAAATCATGTCAATGAATTTTTTTGCACCCTCTTACATCAAAGTCCACTGGTCTATGTGGATTTTGAATGGATCTGGCACTCCCACATGATTTTTGTAACACCAGGCATTGGAAATTTGGAAAACAATGGTTCACTATGCATATCTTAACAATGTTAAC